TTGCAGTTCCCCTTGCACATATTTTCAACATCTGCCTAGTTCAAAGCCAAATTCCAAGTGTTTGGAAGAATTCTTTAGTCACCCCCATACCCAAAACGGCCAACTGCGATCTTATAACCAACTTCAGGCCCATAAGCATCCTGCCCACCCCATCGAAAATCTTTGAGAAAATAGTGAGAAAGGAACTACTGGAATGGATTTCTAAGCTCCATCTCATCCCACCTGAGCAGCATGGCTTTTTGTCAGGGGTATCTACATGTACTCAGCTACTTACTTGTACACATGCTTGGACAGAAGCCATAAACAGCGGGAAGAATGTTGACGTTGTTTACTTCGATTTGAGCAAAGCCTTTGACAAAGTATGCCACTCTAAATTGCTTGCTAAGCTGGAAAGTATTGGAGTCAGGGGTGCTACCTTGAACTTGTTTAGATCTTACCTGCAAGGGCGGAAACTTAACGTTCGAGTAGGAAACTGTATTTCGACTACAAGAGAATGTCCTTCTGGGGTCCCCCAGGGGGCGTTCTGTCGCCTCTTCTATACCTACGACCTACCTAGTTATCTCAAAACTGACAGCAGGATCTCCGTTGCCGCATTCGCGGATGACATAAAAGTGGCAGTGACTTATACACAAGATGAGCGGCATGAAGCTCAGGCAGTGCTGAACAATTGTGTTGAAAGAATGTTCAGCTGGGCCCATTCCTGGAGCTTGGAAATCAATTCTAGTAAAACGTACTTATTCTCGCTTGGAGTGACACCGCTAGAAATTCATTTCCCAAATAAGATTCCGTTGAGGCATAGTGAGCAAATAAAAGACTTAGGGATCAAGCTCTCAAAAAATCTGAGCTGGAGCATTCATGTGGATGAAGTCAGCAACAGAGCGCTCAGGTTGGTCCATCTTCTATTCAGGAATATCCATGGCGTCAATGTTGACATGTGGATTAGGCTCTTCAAATCATACATCCTTCCAATGTTAGAATACTGTAGTCCCATCTGGAGTCCATACCTTGTCAAAGACATCCAAAAACTTGAAAAGGTTCAGAAAACCTTTACGAGAATCTTGTTCTACAAAGTTTTTCCGGATATGAATTACCCTACACTCTGCCATCTTATCATGACCGCCTTCTGAAATTGAATTTGAAGAGTCTTCTCCACAGAAGGATTGTTTCTGATCTAGTCTTTGCTTTTAAGATAATCAAAGGCGAGTTACGAATCCGTCCATCGAACTTTTGGATTTTTCGGCCTTCGAGCGGACGTCGAGGCGGCTTCCAAACTTTTGGCCACGCAATGGGCAAATTTCATAAACAGCTTCGGCACAACAGCTTCATTCTACGCACTACTCGGTGGCTGCAGCGTCTACCTCCATCCTACTATCGTGTCAAAACTCCTCTCAGTTCAAAGTAGCGCTAAAGAAGCTCAATTTATTAGAAGTTCTTGGTATTGAAGACGTATCATAGTCGATGTTCATGTTTCCTGATGTTTCCTGTCGGTCTTCTGTTGTTGCTCAGGTTTAGCAGATTCACTCTTGGGACACTCTTAAATTCTACAGTAAGCGAATCCATCACTGTTGAAGGTGATCCCCTCCCAAAAAACACTAAACGCGGCTACGACTACTCTAGCCTAAGATTTGGGAGGATGCGTCGCGGATTCTGTCAAGTTTGCCGGTTCCACGTGGGTGGTCGGCATACCCGTGTCTCGAAGTTCCGGTAAACTCCCATGACCCCTCAAGTGGCGCAAGGGCACCATGGCCGACTGGTGCTGACTTAAACTGCAATGCTAATCCCAAAGAGTTCTGGCTTGAGTCTTCGTAGCTTCGTGTGACTTCGTTTGCGTGAGCACACATGATGCCCTTCCTTGTCCCGTTCGCCGAGGGAAGCAGCTTGCCTGAACAACTTCTTCTCTTCTTTTCCTCACTCAGTAGTCCTTCTTTGCTGTTTATTTCATTTTCATTCTTTTTCATAATTTTTACTTGCAATGTCTTAATAGCTGCCATTATAATTATCAGTTTATGTTATAGTTTTTTTTCTATTCTTTCTGAGTCATGCAGTCAGTCCCGCTTTGCCTGTTGTAGCTGGCGCGTCATTGTACGCATAAATAAATAAATAAATAAATAAATATTGTAAAATCGGCTTTCCTTCCAAAACGCATCGTTCTCTTTTCGCATATTTAATGTATTGTAAAAGAATTCGATCTAGATGTAACTTCCAGTATTTGTTACCTCCGTCTATCAGATCCAATCCACGCTAGTGCATGCAGATTTTCCCCAATGTGCGCACAAAAAATGCTCGCATTCGTTTGTATTGCGCGAGTTTTAACTGTTCTATATATGAATGTGAAGGTGGAACAGGCTCGTGCTTTACAATGGAATTATTCCTGTATTTCCCATACTCACTGCAATATTTTGTTTTGTATTGACACGTATTGGAGCCAGAAGTTGTCTATGACTTATTTCCGAAAACCCATTCCTTTCGTCTACTGTTGAAGTGAATGCGAACAAATTGCGTGATCAACTTTCTTGACATGATGGGGCAGCGGTCGAAATATTCGCTGAAGCAGTTTTCGTGCTTGTTCTATCACTAAACCGATTCACTTCATATTCTAATATAGTAACAATTCCAGCTGTTCCCTTTTAATCCTTCAAGATTAAGTAATTGAGGGGATAAAGCCTTCGCGATCTAGAGATTCTAGATTTCAGAAGTAGCACACAAAATTTGTTTCGACGATTACTTTTGACGTTGCAGTACCTGAATTTCACCGCCGCAAGTGTAATCTCGCTCGGCTCGAGTAAGTGGATTCTGTGGACATCAAATTCATCGACGCTCATTATCCCCTCTTTATAAATTGATTAGCAGAAGGGCGCATAATTGTGGCCCCGCATAATTAGCAGACCTAATGGGTGTTGTGGGTAGTCCTCCAACAATTTAACGTGCAGTTGCGCCTTTTATAAGAACGAAGTGAATATTCAATATTTTTTATCTCTTAATCCTCTTATGTCTTCATGTTGGGTGCTGGAATGAGTTACAAGGAATAAATGCTGTCTCTTCGCGTTTTTTTTTTCAAGCGGAGGCAAACTCCTTACTAAATGCATAGGAAAAGGGAGGGGTTCAATTGCTAAAAAAAGGAATAGCCTTCAAAAATAGGTTAACTTTAATTTCACATGCACCATTTAACACTTCCTGCAGGTGTGCTCTTTGTCTGCCGTGAGTTGTTGTGTGTTGCTGGATATTTATGTTGATTGGGACTGCTACCCATGTATTGCTGTAAGGAGCTTTTATATGTCTTCCAGGCCCCTGATACAATTTCCGGCTCACCAAGGCTATGCGGCCAGTATTGCACTCAATCCGAGAGAGCGCCATTTGATTGCATCAGGTGGAGGAAGAGACAAGTTCATCAAGGTAATCAAATCTGAACGACTGCATTTTCCTTTTCTTGGCTTTTTTGTTCTCTATATTCTCAGCGTTTGGAGCTGTACTGATACTACATAATGCATTTTTAATACTAATCGTTTATTTTTGATTGAGAAATTATTCCTCAGTGGGGTTACTGTATGTTTAAGATTTGGAATTGGTCAGGCGCTCGTCCAACAGCGCCCACTTATCAAGTGGAGACAATGGCACCAGTTGGCCGTGTTTATTGGAGTCCTGATCCAAAGAACGCCTTCCATATTGCAAGCTGTGCTGGTATGTTGTTTTATTCTGGCCAATATTTTTAAAATACTGCTAAGTCGTGAAAATTTCTAATCGATCTACAAAGACGAACAAAGCAACCACGTCTAAGAAGGCAGTACTAAAATGCAAGTTGCATCTCACTGGCTAAAACGAATCCCTTTGTCTATAATAATTTTGTAGTGATTCTCTACATCCATTGGCTTTTTCGCATTTAGCCGGTCGAGGATCCCCTGCTCATAATTGCTTCACGTTATTGTAAATTAGCGAGACGCGTACTTTCCGCATTTTTGACGCACCCATACGTCTTTCAGTTGTGCAAGATCTGGACAGAGGTCCTGATGACATATATGTTAAAATGCCCTTTGACAATTCAAAATCGACAAGTAAACAGAGACTCTACCCGATCCGTTCGTTTAACCTCAATTTGTCTAGTTTTTGACGCGGATGGCAAAAAGTAGAATACCCCATTGCCCCTAACTCTTCATCAAGGTTCCCCAACCAATCTAAACTCTAAAAATGGGAAATGTCAATAAAAGGCGCTAAACTAATATGTGACTCGTGGTAAAACCGATACGAAGACTCAAGCGTTTTCCGATGTATTGACGGGATGCATCATTGGTTTTTTTTACTAACTGATTAGCAAATATTATTTATATATTATAACCTTTACTGCTAGTTCAAATTAATTTGAAGGATAGCATAGGAGTGAAATGCAAATGAAATCGGCAGAAACAATCTAATATTTGCAAAATTCTCGCAGTTTCTTTCCCATGTCAACGTCCTCACTTTTTTTCATCCTTCAAACTTAGATTGCCATTCTAATCTATTATCACACACATTCAACCGTCAAACAGAATGATAAAACCTCTCCCAAAAACCGCCCAATCGCGTCGCAGCTCCCCCAACTATCTACATCACCCGAAGTCAACGATAATTAAACGTGAGGCATATAGAGATCTATAGTGCCACAGGTATAGAGGAGCTCAGTAAGGAGTACCGCCAGCTACCTCGAGATTATTGGTTTACTCATAGAGCAAAAGTACTTGTTAATTATACTGGGTCTATTCTTTATTCTTGTCTAATTCGGAAACAAAAGTAATCTACAAAACTTTTCGGGATGGTATCAAGTGCCCATGACTACTAAAATGCTATCATAAAGCGTTAACTGATGTACTAGTCAATTGGCCTCTACTTACAATGTGCCGGAAGCTTGACAGATGTACTTGGTCGACTTGTTCGGGAAGCCTCTTATTCTTTGTTGATTATCTGCATCTGACTCACTACGCACCCTCTTTCATGAATTCATTCTGTGTATTTTTTTTTGTTCACCATTTCCGCATGCAGTTACCGGCGATATGGTACTACTTTGAGCTCCATAAAAAAATAGTGGTCTTCTGAACGATTGCAATCATCTGATAAAGGTATCTTAATCTCAGATACTCTTTTCAGATATGTGGTGGAACATTCAAGACCCAGATCGAATTGTATCATCTGGAAAAGATGGCCTACTGGTTCTCCATCGTATGGAACAAAAGCAATCGCCGTTATCCTACGCCTGTGATATGGCGTTAGACGTTGCTCCTGATGGTCTAGTTGGAGTGGCAGGTACTGAACTAAATCACGGTATTCACTTTGTTGGTATACGAGTATTTCTATAGAACACTTCGGTTTCAGCTAATTCTCACATTCCGATTATCAAACATCAAGAGCAGTACATGGCTAGAAAGGTGAGGGAGTATTCGTTCATAAATACAAGTGTAGTGGTCGACGGGAATCGGTTTTTTTGTTTGCATCATGCATTGGGGTTTTATTCGGAGCATTTGGAATGTGTACCAGGGAGCACAGTGACAGATGTGATCTAGTCGTTGTAAACACCAGAGTTCAGGACGTCTCATTTTACCATAAAGCCTTACTGATCCTTCGACCTTGGAGGAATTTCGGTTGATACGAACAAAATTTGGTCAGATATTTCAAATGCTGAGGAAGTCGTGGATTCGTTACCTCATGTTCTCGTGTTTGCAAATCAGCCCGAATCCTGAACTAAGTAAAGGATAGCATAAGGCCCATGCAGCCGTGAGAAAGCTGGGTTTTGTTATCCCAACATCTTACTTTTCCAGTTTTCTGGAGTTTTGGAGTTTTCTCTACCAGGAAATTAAGACATTTTTGTAAGGACGAAGGAGACGTGCTTTTCATAGAAATGATTGGTCACTCGTTTGCTGTTTGAATATTTCATAGGAGTATTTTATGAGGTAATAACTTTTTTCAGCGACAACCATATGATCCATTCCGCACGCCAGTACGTAGTCAGCTTTCGTGTGGATTACCGGATAACGCAATGAACACTCTACAACCATCTGCTTTTTATAGGCTGGCAGAGAAGTAAGCACATGATGATTTTTTCTTTTAGAACAACCCGCATGAATTTCGTGGTGGTGACTATTTTTCAATTTTTCTAGAGAGAGGTCAAATCAAAGGAGGGCTCTTAAATGTTTTGGCTCATCGCTGAATTACCTTCATTT